ATACCCGTGAAAGATTTTACAGAACATCAAAGAATCGAATGGTTTGTTCATCTTGTCAGAATAAAGCAAAATCAAGCAGCAACCAGGGCGTTCTATATGAAAAACAAGACAACACGGAAAGAAGCCGACCCAGAATGAGATGGGCGGATAGATTGAAAGAGACAATGCAGAAAGACGCTATGACAATAATAAAGTTGTGCAACTAGCACAAGACAGGAAACTATCTAACTCCCCCTTTTAAATCTTTAAACAGTGGGACAAAAGAAGAAGAAGACAATAAACATTTAGATTTGCATGTTATGTCAGACCTGGTTGTAAAATTGCTACACTATCATCTAGAGGCTGTTTATTCTGTGTCCAATACTACACGGTTCGCGTAAGTGTCAGATGCATCCTGAAGATAGACACCGGAGAGCCGGTGAAGAAAGCCCGGCCGCGACCAATGGGTCAATATTGACGTGTCAATGGTCTCTTGTTTATGTTGTCAGCGGCTCGCGCATTCAGACCGGGTTACGGGGCCCCCTATAGAAGAGATCTAACAACTGCCTCACTTGTCTGTTGACCATATCCATGGATCTGACCACTGCCCTAGTTGTCTGTTCATGAGTTAATGGTATCTATTGATGTCCTTACACGTACAGGAGGGATCTGACTACTGCCCTAGTTGTCTGTTGATGAGTTAATGGTATCCATTTACGTCCTTACACGTACAGGAGGGATCTGACCACTGCCCTAGTTGTCTGTTCATGAGTTAATGGTATCCATTAATGTTCTTACACGTACAGGAGAGATCTGACTACTGCCCTAGTTGTCTGTTCATGAGTTAATGGTATCTAATGATGTCCTTACAAGTACAGTATGATAACATGGCGACTGGTGGAAAGAGGTAGCCGGGGGAGGGGTGTAAAAGGGGGGGGGGGCGGTCAAGAACATTAAATAGAAACAATGATACAATGACTAAAGAGCGTACAAATAGGGTAAAATACAAGAACTTAGAGGATATATGTCTAGCGTACACACATGGTCGGATTTATTACTCAGAACACTAAGCAAGTGCTTTAGGGCATCATAAAAGAAGGGGGCACCGCAGATATGTTCACTAGCCTTGGAGATTAGAGTTTAGTTTTCAACTGAAATTTATTTTAAATAAAATCTCATTAAAACAACCAAGCAACAAGGCAGGCATGATACCTTATCTATGTTAAGTATAGAAGCAGCTGTGTTGCATAAGATTAGTTTCCTATCCAACGCTAGCGTCTTTTCTTCACCTCTTGATCCACTGGAGCTGGCTTAGTTCTCTCCCAAAGCTCTACATTATTTATTCTATCATACCATTTAATTCCCTATATTCTGCGCATCACCAGTTTTTATTAGTAATCGCCTTAATTCTCCATGTTTCCGCCACATACAAAAATTTTGAGGATGTACCAAGTGGGACACTGTTGGCGACTGCACAGAATTGTCTCGCTTCATTTGCGGTGATTGGATCTCGTCCACTGCTTGGCCCCGCCCCCTTCAGAGATAAACATAAACATTGACACAAGTCACTGATCTCCATGCACGTGGGTCACGTGATGACCAGCATGCACCTGGACGGCTCACACCTGGAGGTACCGAAGGTATTTTATCCGGGTATACTTGTTAGAGAACTAGTGGTGTCAGGACTTTGTGATTTCGTCTGACCGTGGCATCGTGTGTAGAAAGAGACAACATTGCTGACAAAAGTTCAGAAATAAGTATAATGTTCATATTAACATTATCCAAGCTGTGATGGATTATACGCAGGCTTTTTTTTTTTTTTTTCATCATATAATTATATTCCTGTGAATTTATGCGCATAATTTCTTCATCACATAATTATAATCGTGTGAATTTGCTCGCAGACTTCTTCATCACATAATTATATTCGTGTGAATTTATTCGGTGACTTCCTAATCACATAATTATATTCGTGTGAATTTGTTTGCAGACTTCTTCATCGAATAATAATAATCGTGTGAATTTGCTCGCAAACTTCTTCATCACATAATTATAATGGTGTGAATTTGTTCGGTGACTTCTTTATCACATAAGTATATTCCTGTGAATTTATACGCAGACTTTCTTCATCACACAAGTATATTCCTATGAAATTATACGCAGGCTTTTTATATTCCAACAATTACATTGGTAGGAATTTAAAGTTTAAACTGTGTTTCGTTTTCAAGATTCAGTGTAAGGAAAGTAACTTCTCTTGGCGATAACATTTTCGTCACACTAACTGGTCGAGTGCCTATACTCCGTCGGGGGCCAGAAGACAGAAGAGGAATTCCCAAGAAGTAACGCAGAATCGTAAGTGACGATTTTGTAGATAAAGAGATAATTATGTGACGTTGTGGTAGAGTTAATATTGTAACATTGTTATCGTTAATATTGAAATGTTTGCGTAGACAGTGTTAATTGTGGCGTAATAGAGTTAATATTTTGGGGCTGTGGTAGTGATTCTGTTTTTTTTTTTGCGAATGTGGAGACTATAGACCCTTGCACGCAGACAGGCGGTCTGATGTTGTCTGCACCAACATTTGCGAGGATTTAAGGGCTTTTAAGTGTGCAGGGTATGTGCCATGTGGTTTGTTTCGTTATCTGTAAACTTAAAATTTTACAAATTTAACTTTGTAAAAGTTGTGATAATTTTCCGAAACAATTTAACCTATACTCAGAGAGAGAGAGAGAGAGAGAGAGAGAGAGAGAGAGAGAGAGAGAGAGAGAGAGAGAGAGAGAGAGAGAGAGAGAGAGAGAGAGACAGAGAGAGACAGAGAGAGACAGAGAGAGAGCAGGAAAGAATATTAAAAGCTAAAAATTTACTTCCCAGACAGGAGGGAGAAAGCAGATAAACAAGCACTCCAACTTTATCATTAGACGACCTGTCAATATACAACACTAGACAAACAGCTAGTCTACAACATTAAACAGCCAGTCTACAACATTAGACAAACAGCCAGTCTACAACATTAGACAAACAGCCAGTCTACAACATTAGACAAACAGCTAGTCTACAACATTAGACAAACAGCCAGTCTACATTAGACAACAGCTAGTCTACAACATTAGACAACAGATAGTCTACAACATTAGACAACAGCCAGTCTACAACATAAGACAAAACAACTAGTCTACAATATTAGACAACAGCCAGTCTACAACATTAAACAGCCAGTCTACAACATAAGACAAAACGACTAGTCTACAATATCAGACAACAGCCAGTCTACAACATTAGAGGCGATATATCTATTACTCAATGTTTAGGGAGGAAACCAGAGAGAGAGAGAGAGAGAGAGAGAGAGAGAGAGAGAGAGAGAGAGAGAGAGAGAGAGAGAGAGAGGAAGAGAAAGAGGCGATATATCTATTTCTCAACAGTTTAGTGATGAATGTAGAGAGAGAGGTGATATATCTATTGCTCTGTGTTTAGGGAGGAAACCAGAGAAAGAGAGAGAGGCGATATATCTATTACTCAATGTTTAGGGAGGTAAGCAGAGAGAGAGAGAGAGAGAGAGAGAGAGAGAGAGAGAGAGAGAGGGCGATATATCTATTACTCAATGTTTAGGGAGGTAAGCAGAGAGAGAGAGAGGCGATATATCTATTACTCAATGTTTAGGGAGGTAGGAGAGAGAGAGAGAGAGAGAGAGAGAGAGGCGATATATCTATTACTCAATGTTTAGGGAGGTAAGCAGAGAGAGAGAGAGAGAGAGAGAGAGAGGGGGCGATATATCTATTACTCAATGTTTAGGGAGGTAACCGGTAAGAGAGAGAGAGAGAGAGAGAGAGAGAGAGAGAGAGAGAGAGAGGCGATATATCTATTAGATGAGGAGAGAGAGAGAGAGAGAGAGAGAGGCGATATATCTATTACTCAATGTTTAGGGAGGTAAGCAGAGAGAGAGAGAGAGAGAGAGAGAGGCGATATATCTATTACTCAATGTTTAGGGAGGTAAGCAGAGAGAGAGAGAGAGAGAGAGAGAGAGAGATGTTTAGGGAGGTAAGAGAGAGAGAGAGAGAGAGAGAGAGAGGGCGATATATCTATTACTCAATGTTTAGGGAGGTAAGCAGAGAGAGAGAGAGAGAGAGAGAGAGAGAGAGAGAGGCGATATATCTATTACTCAATGTTTAGGGAGGTAAGCAGAGAGAGAGAGAGGCGATATATCTAATACTCAATGTTTAGGGAGGTAAGCAGAGAGAGAGAGAGAGGCGATATATCTAATACTCAATGTTTAGGAAGGAAAGCAGAGAGAGAGAGAGAGAGAGAGAGAGAGAGAGAGGGCGATATATCTATTGCTCAATGTTTAGGGAGGTAAGCAGAGAGAGAGAGAGGCGATATATATATATATATTACTTAATGTTTAGGAAGGAAAGCAGAGAGAGAGAGAGAGAGAGAGAGAGAGGCAATATATCTATTACTGAAATGTTTATTGGGGAAAGCAGAGAGAGAGAGAGAGAGAGAGAGAGAGAAAGAGGGAGAGGCGATGTGTCTATTTCTCAAAAGTTGAGTGAAGAGTGTAGAGAGAGAGGCGATATATCCATTGCTCAATATTTTGGGAGGAAAGTAGAGAGTAAAACCGTATGTCTATTAGTTAATGTTTAGGGAGGGAAGTGGAGAAGGAGGGGGAAGTTTGAGTATCTAAGACGCAATACTTATGGAGAGAAGGAGAGAGAGGAACAGTGTGTCAGTGACTCAATGCTTGGTGAGAGAAGGAAAAAGAGAAAGACAGAGATAAAAACAGAGAGGGAAAAGTATAGAGTGTCTGGACACAGTAAAAGGGGTAACCATGCCTTGTACACAAACTATGACTCAATTTTCAGAAAGGAAAGAAAAGACAGAGAGAGAAAGTCTGTGTCTATCACTCAATGAGTGAGGGAGCGATGTAGGAGACAAAGTACGTCTACTAATCAATTGTTTGCGATGGAACGAGGAAGGGAGGAGGGGGTGTAGTCTATTAGACCAAATTTAATTAATTTCCCAGTGAATGTCAAGTTGGCGCATCAAACCTCGTTCACGAGCTGTAGTCGGTGTCGTTAACACGGGAAATAAATCCTCCATCAGTTGGTAACATCGGGACTTTGCCAGTTACCTGCGCTTGTTACTGCCCGCATAAATTATAGTTTGATCAGGTGGTTAGACTCGTGCTCGTCGCCACGTCCTGGCGGGACGTCGATTATCTTTGATTCAAACGCTTGTGAGTTTACAGTTTTAAAATCGAATACAATCTTACAAATCTCTGCTAATCTATCTGAGGGGTTACCGCGGATATTGTGTCCCACGTCTTGGCTATCCATGTTATTGTATTCAGGTCTTGACTATCTCAGTTACTGTGTCAAAGTCTTGTATTCAGGTCTTGACTATCTCAGTTACTGTGTCAAAGTCATGTATTCAGGTCTTGACTATCTCAGTTATTGTGTCAAAGTCTTGTATCCAGGTCTTGACTATCTCCGTTACTGTGTTAAAGTCTTGTATTCAGCTCTTGACTATCTCAGTTACTGTGTCAAAGTCTTGTATTCAGGTCTTGACTATCTCCGTTACTGTGTCAAAGTCTTGTATTCAGGTCTTGACTATCTCAGTTATTGTGTCCCACGTCTTGGCTACCCCTGTTATTGTATCCAGGTCTTGACTATCTCAGTTATTGTGTTAAAGTCTTGGCTACCCCTGTTATTCTATCCAGGTCTTGACTATCTCAGTTACTGTGTCAATGTCTTGGCTACCCCTGTTATTGTATCCAGGTCTTGACTATCTCAGTTATTGTGTAGATGTCTTGGCTACCCCTGTTATTGTATCCAGGTCTTGACTATCTCAGTTATTGTGTCGATGTCTTGGCTACCCCAGTTATTGTATCCAGGTCTTGACTATCTCAGTTACTGTGTCCAAGTCTTGGCTACTACTGTTACTGTGTCCAAGTCTTGCTACTACTGTTGCTGTGTCCAAGTCTTGGCTACTACTGTTACTGTGTCCAAGTCTTGGCTACTACTGTTACTGTGTCCAAATCTTGGCTACTACTGTTACTGTGTCAAAGTCTTGGCTACTACTGTTACTGTGTCCAAGTCGTAGCTACTACTGTTACTGTGTCCAAGTCGTAGCTACTACTGTTACTGTGTCCAAGTCTTGGCTACTACTGTTACTGTGTCCAAGTCTTGGCTACTGCTGTTGCTGTGTCCAAGTCTTGGCTACTACTGTTACAGTGTCCAAGTCTTGGCTACTGCTGTTGCTGTGTCCAAGTCTTGGCTACTACTATTACAGTGTCCAAGTCTTAGCTACTACTGTTACTGTGTCCAAGTCTTGGCTACTACTGTTGCTGTGTCCAAGTCTTGGTTACTACTGTTACGGTGTCCCAGTCTTGGCTACTACTGTTGCTGTGTCCAAGTCTTGGCTACTACTGTTACTGTGTCCAAGTCTTGGCTACTACTGTTGCTGTGTCCAAGTCTTGGTTACTACTGTTACGGTGTCCCAGTCTTGGCTACTACTGTTGCTGTGTCCAAGTCTTGGTTACTACTGTTACAGTGTCCAAGTCTTGACTGCTACTGTTACTGTGTCCAAGTCTTGGCTACTACTGTTGCTGTGTCCAAGTCTTGGCTACTACTGTTACGGTGTCCCAGTCTTGGCTACTACCGTTAGAGTGTCCAAGTCTTGGCTACTACTGTTGCTGTTTCCAAGTCTTGGTTACTACTGTTACTGTGTCCAAGTCTTGGCTACTACTGTCACAGTGTCCAAGTCTTGGCTACTACTGTTACAGTGTCCAAGTCTTGGCTACTACTGTTACTGTGTCCAAGTCTTGGTTACTACTGTTACTGTGTCCAAGTCTTGGCTACTACTGTTGCTGTCTCTAAGTCTTGGCTACTACTGTTGCTGTGTCCAAGTCTTGGCTACTATTGTTACTGTGTCCAAGTCTTGGCTACTACTGTTACAGTGTCCAAGTCTTGGCTATTACTGTTACTGTGTCCAAGTCTTGGCTACTACTGTTACTGTGTCCAAGTCTTTGCTACTACCGTTACAGTGTCCAAGTCTTGGCTACTACTGTTACTGTTTCCAAGTCTTGGCTACTACTGTTGTTGTGTCCAAGTCTTGGCCACCTTTGTTACTGTTGATAACTTGTTATCACTGCTGTAGTTACCCGGTGCGTTTCAATTTGTGAAGCTTCTATGCTAATTTTTTTAGCAATGGATTTTAGTTACTTGTGTCCTGGCATTTTTTTTGGCTACTTTGTTCTGTCTTGTCTACACAAATTGCTGAGTACTTCTCTCTGTCTTGCACATACAATTTGCTGAGTACTAATCTCTGTCATGCACATAAAATTTGCTGAGTACTTCTCTCTGTCTTGCACATACAATGTGCTGAATAATTATCTCTGTCCTGCACATAGAATTTGCTGAGTACTTCTCTCTGTCCTGCACATAGAATTTGCTGAGTACTTCTCTCTGTCCTGCACATAGAATTTGCTGAGTACTTCTCTCTGTCCTGCACATACAATTTGCTGAGTACTTCTCTCTGTCCTGTACATACAGTTTCCTGAGTACTTCTCTCTGTCCTGTACATACAATTTGCTGAGTACTTCTCTCTGTCCTGTACATACCATTTGCTGAGTACTTCTCTCTATCCTGAGCATACAATTTGCTGAGTACTTCTCTCTATCCTGAGCATACAATTTGCTGAGTACTTCTCTCTATCCTGAGCATACAATTTGCTGAGTATTTCTCCCTGTCCTGTAGATACAATTTGCTGAGTGCTTCTCTCTATCCTGTACATACAATTTGCTGAGTACTTCTCTCTGTCCTGTACATGCAATTTGCTGAGTACTTCTCTCTGTCCTGCGAGTACAATTTGATGAGTACATATAAATGTCCTGCAGATAAATTTGCTGAGTACTTCTCTCTGTCCTGTACATACAATTTGCTAAGTACTTCTATCTGTCCTGCACATTCAAATTATTGTGTACTTCTCTCAGTCCTGCACATTCAATTTACTGAGTACTTCTCTGTCCTGCACATTGAATTTACTCAGTACTTCTCTCTGTCCTGCGAGTACAATTTGTTTAGAACTTCTATTTGTCCAGCACATACAATTTGTTAAGTACTTCTATCTGTCCTGCAAATACAGTGTGCTGAGTACTTCTGTCTGTCCTGCACATACAATTTGCTTAGTACTTTTCTCTGTCCTGCACATACAATTACCTGAGTACTTTTATCTGTCCTGCACATACAATTTACTTCGTACTTCTCTTTGTCCTGCACATACAATTTGCTGAGTACTTCTCTCTGTCCTGTAAATACAATGTGCTGAGTACTTCTCTCGGTCCTGTACATACAATTTGCTGAGTACTTCTCTCTGTCCTGCGAGTACAATTTGCTGAGTACTTCTAAATGTCCTGCACATAAATTTGCTGTGTACTTCTCTCTGTCCTGCACATACAATTTGATTAGTACTTCTATTTGTCCAGCACATACAATTAGCTAAGTACTTCTATCTGTCCTGCAAATACAGTGTGCTGAGTACTTCTATCTGTCCTACACATACAATTTGCTGAGCACTTCTCTCTGTCCTGTACATACAATTTGCTGAGTACTTCTCTCTGTCCTGCGAGTACAATTTGCTGAGTACTTCTCTCTATCCTGCACATACAATTTTATTAGTACTTCTTTTTGTCCAGCACATACAATTTGCTAAGTACTTCTATCTGTCCTGCAAATACAGTGTGCTGAGTATTTCTATCTGTCCTGCAACTACAATTTGCTGAGTACTTCTCTCTGTCCTGCACATACAATTTGCTTAGTACTTCTCTCTGTCCTGTATATACAATTTGCTGAGTACTTTAATCTGTCCTGCACAACAGTTTACTGAGTACTTCTCTCTCTTCTGTACATACAATTTGCTGAGTACTTTAATCTGTCCTGCACAACAGTTTACTGAGTAATTCTCTCTGTCCTGTACAACAGTTTACTGAGTAATTCTCTCTGTCCTGCACAACAGTTTACTGAGTAATTCTCTCTGTCCTGTACAACAGTTTACTGAGTACTTCTGTCTCTCCTGCATGCACATACAATTTGAGTACTTGTGATGTTGACCGCACGGAGTGCCGATCGGTCTATAAAAATTTGTATGCCCAATACTTCCCGAAGGGAAAGAAGGGGGTCGTTTGATGTTATTTTACTAGTTTATCCATTGCAAGGAGATTCTTATCATTTCCATGTTAAAGTATGGTGACATCAGTGTGTGCTGCATTTATTAGATAGTTTCCGTATCTTGGCAACAATAATTTAGTTTCTGTGTCTTGGCAACAGTAACTTAGTTTGTGTATCTTGGCAACAGTAACTTAGTTTGTGTATCTTGGCAACAGTAACTCAAGTATCTGTATCTTGGCAACAGTAACTTAGTTTCTGTATCTTGGCAACAGTAACTTAGTTTCTGTATCTTGGCAAAAATAACTTAGTTTCCGTATCTTGGCAACAGTAACTTAGTTTCTATATCTTGGCAAAAATAACTTAGGTTTCCGTATCTTGGCAACAGTAACTTAGTTTCTATATCTTGGCGACAATAACTGTTTTATTATTTTGTGATTTGGCTGAAAATGTTGCTAAATGTGACCGCCAAAAGCTAATTGAGCTTGTCAATTTTTCACAGACATCAGATACACAACCCTCTACGAACGATCATGATGTCGGGAACTACACGTCAAGTAACTCGTGTCCAGCGATTAGCTAACAAGCCCCATTACAAGAGCAGAAACTAACAATATATAAGTTTTTTTCATATCGCCCGCCTTCTCCCATCACACCAACAGAAACTAACGAAATCTTAGTTTCTTTAACATCGCCCACCCTCTCCCCTCACACCAGCAGAAACTAATCATACATAAGTTTCTTCAACATTGCCCGCCTTCTCCCATCACACCAGCAGAAACTAACAATACACAAGTTTCTTTAAAATCGCCCGCCTTCTCCTCTCACACGAGGAAAAACTAACAATATATTAGTTTTTTTGACATCGCCCGCCCTCTCTCAATACACCAGCAGAAACTAATAATATATTAGGTTTTTTTTTATATCGCCCGCCCTCTCTCATTACACCAGCAGAAACTAACAATATATTAGTTTTTTTGGGACATCGCCCGCCCTCTCTCAATACACCAGCAGAAACTAACAATATATTAGTTTTATTTTTTTATATCGCCCGCCCTCTCTCATTACACCAGCAGAAACTAACAATATATTAGTTTTTTTTGACATCGCCCGCCCTCTCTCAATACACCAGCAGAAACTAACAATATATTATTTTTTTTTTTAAATCGCCCGCCCTCTCTCATTACGCCAGCAGAAACTAACAATATATTAGTTTTTTTTTGACATCGCCCGCCCTCTCTCAATACACCATCAGAAACTAACAATATATTAGTTTTTTTTTTTTGGGCATCGCCCGCCCTATCTCAATACACCAGCAGAAACTTACAATATATTAGTTTTTTTATCGCCCGCCCTCTCTCAATACACCAGCAGAAACTAACAATATATTAGTTTTTTTGACATCGCCCGCCCTTTCTCAATACACCAGCAGAAACTAACAATATATTAGTTATTTTTACATCGCCCGCCCTCTCTCAAAACACCAGCAGAAACTAACAATATATTAGTTTTTTTGACATCGCCCGCCCTCTCTCAATACACCAGCAGAAACTAACAATATATTAGGTTTTTTTTATCGCCCGCCCTCTCTCAATACACCAGCAGAAACTAACAATATATTAGTTTTTTTGACATCGCCCGCCGTTTCTCAATACACCAGCAGAAACTAACAATATATTAGTTTTTTTTTTACATCGCCCGCCCTCTCTCAAAACACCAGCAGAAACTAACAATATATTAGTTTTTTTGACATCGCCCGCCCTCTCTCAATACACCAGCAGAAACTAACAATATATTAGGTTTTTTTTATCGCCCGCCCTCTCTCAATACACCAGCAGAAACTAACAATATATTAGTTTTTTTTTTATATCGCGCGCCCTCTCCCCTCAAAAAGCGGAAACATAATATATTAGTTTCTTTAACATCGCCCACCCTCCCATAACAGGAGCGGAAATATAACAAAATATTAGTTTCTTTAACATCGCCAAACTCTCCCTTCACACGAACTGAAACATAACAATATATTAGTTTCTTTAACATCACCCAACCTCTCCCCTCACACGAGGGGAAACATAACAATATATTAGTTTCTTTAACATCGCCCGCCCTCTCCCATCACACGAGCGGAAACATAACAATATATTAGTTTCTTTAACATCGCCCGCCCTTTCCCATCACACCTGAGATGGAGACGACAGCGTCGTCTGCTCCAATCAATGGCGGCTGAGAAGGTTGCACACAAAATCAAACATGTCGGGCTGATCATGGCGGTTCGTCTGACAGAGATTGTGCGTGGATGGCTGACTGTGAACATATACTGAGTTTTATAACTGTAGGCGAGACATCAATGTTAGCTGGGCTGATTTCATCACGTTTATTCTATGAGATTTAGTGGCTTTTAAACATCGTTTCTATTCCCACCCCAACCGTTCCCTGTCACTACAACCTCAGAGAACAAGAACTCGCTGGGATACTTGATTTGACTGAAATGAAGAAACTGTGAAGTGAAGCAACGCGAAGAATCATGTATATCATGAAACAACAAAAAGAAACAGTGTTTAGTAAAGCAATAGGAAGACAAGTTATGTAGTAAAGCAACAGGAAGAAGCTGGGTGCAGTGAAGCAACAGAAAGAAACTGTTTAGTGAAGCAACAGAAAGAAACTGTTAAGTGAAGCAACAGAAAGAGTGTGTAGAGAAGCAACAGAGAGGAACAGTGTGTAGAGAAGCAACAAAAAGGAACAGTGTGTAGAGAAGCAACAGAGAGGAACAGTGTGTAGAGAAGCAACAGAGAGGAACAGTGTGTAGAGAAGCAAAAGAGAGGAACAGTGTGTAGAGAAGCAACAGAGAGGAACAGTGTGTAGAGAAGCAACAGAGAGGAACAGTGTGTAGAGAAGCAACAGAGAGGAACAGTGTGTAGAGAAGCAACAGAGAGGAACAGTGTGTAGAGAAGCAACAGAAAGAGTGTGTAGAGAAGCAACAGAGAGGAACAGTGTGTAGAGAAGCAACAGAGATGAACAGTGTGTAGAGAAGCAACAGAAAGAGTGTGTAGAGAAGCAACAGAGAGGAACAGTGTGTAGAGAAGCAACAGAGATGAACAGTGTGTAGAGAAGCAACAGAAAGAGTGTGTAGAGAAGCAACAGAGAGGAACAGTGTGTAGAGAAGCAACAAAAAGGAACAGTGTGTAGAGAAGCAACAGAAAGGAACAGTGTGTAGAGAAGCAACAGAAAGGAACAGTGTGTAGTGAAGCAACAGAAAGATACAGTGTGTAGAGAAGCAACAGAAAGAAACTGTTAAGTAAAGCAACAGAAACTGTGTGTAGAGAAGCAACAGAAAGGAACAGTGTGTAGAGAAGCAACAGAAAGGAACAGTGTGTAGTGAAGCAACAGAAAGATACAGTGTGTAGAGAAGCAACAGAAAGAAACAGTTTGTAGAGAAGCAACAGGAAGAAACAGTGTGTAGTAAAGCAACAGAAAGAAACAGTGTGTAGTAAAGCAAGAAAGAAACAGTGTGCATTGAAGCAACAGTAAGGAACAGAGTGTAGTTCTGCTACAAGAAGAGATACTGTAGTGAATACATTTTTTTACACATAAATGTCTCAGATTACTCTTGTGACTGTTAGCTCTCTCTCTCTCTCTCTCTCTCTCTCTCTCTCTCTCTCTCTCTCTCTCTCTCTATCTATCTATCTTTCTTACCGTTCTCTTTCTCTTTCCACTTTTGCCTCTTTCTCTCGCCCTCTTGCCGTTGTCTCTCTAGTCTCTCTCTCTCTCTTTTCTTTAACCTCAGCAGCCTCTCCCCCTCTCTCTGTCTCACTCGCTGTGTTTCTCTATCATCTGCCACATCCCGTCTTTCTCATTGTCTTTCAGTCGCTTTGTGTGTGTGAGTGGAAAAATAAGGGGGGGGGGGGTGGGGTGTTTACTTCATCCAGTTCTCCCCAATACCCAGCGGAAATAGTCTTCATTACAGTCACCCCCCCCCCGTGTGTGTTCATGTGTACGTGTGTGTGTGTGTGTGTGTGTGCGTGCGTACATATCTATGAGTATGTGCCTGCATATCTATGCTTACAACATCTGGCTACCTCTCCACCCCCCCCCCCCCCCCTCCGGCAGAAATGATTTCCTTCCCCCGTGTTTCAGATCTCTCGCTGGGCGCCCCCTTACGACGTTCCCAGGAGCAGGCGGTGTTGTCAAACATGAGCACACCCAAGTGTTCCCAGTCCAGCCCCAAGGACTGTCTGACCAGCTTCTGCGCCTTCAGACCCTGGCTGAAAGACTCCACATCTCAGCTGAACAGTCCTAAGACAGGTAGCCTATGTTGTCCGTCGCATACAGTTTCCCATATAATGTCTTGTTGCAAATGATTTAGTTGCACATTATGTTGCCGCACAGTTTACTGTTGCACGTTATGTTATGCCGCCTCACATCGTTGCACCTTATAATAGAGCACACTATGTCGTTGAATATTATGTTGTCCCACCTTATCTTATTGCATATTATATTGTTGCACATTTTGTTGTCCCGCATTACCTTATTGCACCTTATTTAAAAGCACATTATGTTTTTGGACGTTATGTTGTTGCACATTATGTTATCCGACCTTATATTATTGCACATTACGTTGTTGCATATTATATTGTCCGACCTTATGTTATTCCACAATATGTTGTTACACATTATGTTGTTCTACTTTACGTTATTGCACATTATGTTGTTGCATATTATGTTGTTGTACATTATATTGTCCTACCTTATGTTATTCCACAATATGTTGTTACACATTATGTTGTTCTACTTTACGTTATTGCACATTATGTTGTTGCATATTATGTTGTTGTACATTATATTGTCCGATCCTATGTTATTGCACATTATGTTGATACACATTATGTTATTCTACTTTACGTTATTGCCCATTATGTTGTTGCATATTATGTTGTTGTACATTATATTGTCGGACCTTATGTTTTTGCACATTATGTTGTTGCACATTATGTTGTTGCACATTATGTTTGTTCTACTTTACGTTATTGCACATTATGTTGTTACACATTATGTTTTTGCACATTATGTTGTTGTAAATTATATTGTCCGATCTTATGTTATTGCACATTATGTTGTTACACATTATGTTATTCTACTTTACGTTATTGCACATTATGTTGTTGCACATTATGTTGCCATACCCAGTGTCGCCGTAATACATGGGGCCTCTGGGGACTTTCATGGGGCCCCAGAAGTATAGAGGCCACATGCTTATCTCTGTATGTCAAGTGATTTGAAACAATTAGTTGTCATAGGGAGCCTTAGAACACTGATTTTCCCAGGGGTCCATAATGCTGTTAGGACAGTTCTGGTCTCACCTTAGGCTATTTCACAATATGTAGCCCATATTATGTTGTCACACATTATATTATTGCACATCATGTTGTTGCACATTTTGTGTGCCACCTTACAGTACTGCAGATGATACTGTTGTTGCACATTGTGTTGTTGTATATTATGTTGCTACACATGGAATTATTGCACACTATATGGTTGCAACGATTTATAAAGGGATTCATTGTCCTTCCACAGTGACTCGGGATGGACCAGACTTAGTTGTTGATAACGCATCCGTTTCTAAACGTTCCTCTGCTGCAAACCAGGAGACCCTCCAGCAGGGACTGTTGACGCCTCTGAGCTGTTATCCCCAACAGCTGTATTCGCACGCTGCCTTGTTGGCCCCATCACCATCACAACTACCTCTGAATATTTTTGGCTCGATGTTTCAGGCCGCCTCCCACCCTAGTCTGCTGTTGGCCACTACCCAGGCGGGCCAGGCGAGCTTCGGGTTCAAGGAGAACATCTACGGTTACGACAGAGAGACAGAACTGTTGCTGCTCAGCCACGTCCCCGAGAATCGGTCCCAACAACTGACCCGACCTCCAGCCAACCCAGGACAGCTGGTACTTTCCAGTCTTCAGTATTGTCAGCAGAAATTCTTCAAGCAGCGGCAGCAGCAAATGGAAACTGACAGAGAACAGCACAGTAAACAGCAGCACTGTCGACAGCAACATCACCTTGTGTCACCAGTACAGCATCATCACCAGTCCCATCTTTACAACAGCTCATTAGCCGAGAGCCTGTTGCTTCACAGACAGCTATCCCCATTGGCTCACGTCACCCAGAATCTAACTACAGTCAACGCAACAATTGCAGTAACCAATCACGACTTTTCTTCAGCGTTGATCACGCCCCTCTCGCCATCTTTATCCAATCATGTTTCAAACCTGCCCCCATCAAGACACGCCCCATCTAGAGCCAGTCGCAGCTATGTGGTCAGTCAGAACGCCTACGATGCCAAAGGCTGTTTCCAGTGTATCAAATGCTCAAAACAGTTCAGTACCCCACATGGCCTGGAAGTTCACGTGAGACGTACTCACGCCGGGCTCCGCCCCTATGCATGTCATGTGTGTGGCAAAACATTTGGTCACGAAATCAGCTTGAGCCAGCACATGGTGGTACACACGCAAGAGAGGTCATTCCGGGTAGGTCTTTTACAAAATACAGGTTTTATGTTTAAATTCAACAATAGATTTCACTTGTATGAAGATTGCAAAAACGACCACGTGTATATATTTACCAATAGACGTCATCTGAATGAATTCATCTATGATGAAGACACACAGGAGAGGTCATTCCTGGGAGGTCTTTTACAGAAAACGTAACGTTGGTCCCCCTAAACCCCGCTTATATATCATTAGCTCACTTCTGATTGGTAGTTTCTGAGCACCGTGACCTTCGCACAAGGTCAGAGGGGTGTTCCGCGATGCTGTTGATATCGCATGTTGTATATTTTAGCACGCCAGCGCCTTTAATACTCCAAAAACATGGAGAAACTGACCCTAACACAACCCACCTAGAGAGTACTGCAACATACGTCACAGTCTTTCATTTTTTCCCCGAATCAAAACGTAAATGCATGACAACGCAGAAAGCAAACAACAGAGCGTGACACACCCGTTACATAATTAGGAAAGTCGATTAGCCCAACAAACTCGTAAATGAAAAGTGACCTACTCTATTTGGGGAGATTAACGTGAACCTAACCGTTTTACAAATACAGGTCATTTGCATGAATTAACCAATAGGATGTCGCCTGTATGAATTTACCAATAGATGCCATTTATATAAATTCACAAATAGATGTCATTTGCTACAGTCAACATTAGATGATATTCGATATGTTTGCAGGAAGGTGATGTCATCACTTATAGATAACACAACTTGATAAAGCCCCTGCAGATGTCACCTGTTAGCAGATGTCAGTTTATACAATCACCAGGAGGCAATATTCTATGCAATCACAAGTTTAGCATTATCATCATCATCATCATCATCATCATCATCATCATCATCATCATCATCAGTATTATGATTACAATCAGTACCATTATTAACATCACCAGTATCACTATTTATCATCATCATCGATATCATCACCAACATCATCATCATCATAATCACCATCATCATCACTATTATCATCATAATCATCATCATCACTATCATCATCATCACTATCATCATCATCACTATCATCATCATCATCATCATCATCATCATCATCATCATCATCACCATCATCATCATCATCATCATCATCATCATCTCTGTCATCATCATCATAGTCTATGTCATCATCATCATCATCATTATTATTATCATCATCATCATCGCTATTATCACCCTCATCCTCATCATCATCTTTAGCATCACTATCATCGTCGTAATCATCATTATTAACATCATCATCATCATCATCGCTTTTATTATCATCCTCATCCGTATTAGCATCATCATATTTAGCATCACTATCATCGACATGATCATCATTTTCATCGTCATCCTCATCATTATTATTATCATCACTACCATTATCACCATCTTGTTCATCGTAGGCACCATCGGTTGTTGGTATTCCACGATAACAGTGTTTGGGACCAAGCCTACAACGAACATGTTCTCTTGCTTTCTCTAGTGCCAGCAGTGCGGCAAGACGTTCAAGAGGTCCTCCACGTTGTCCACACACCTGCTCATCCACAGCGACACCAGACCCTACCCGTGCCCCTACTGCGGCAAACGGTTCCATCAGAAGTCGGACATGAAGAAACACACCTACATTCACACAGGTAAGAGAGGGATGGGGGGTCAATGACATACCGGTCCTGGCTGGCTGTCTTCATTCTGCCTGCGTTACCGTCTGGCTAGGGGGCTGCGTGTTCTCCAGGCATGATGTCCGCCTCGAGTGCTGGCGGTTCCGGGCTCAATCCCCTGTAAGGGCTGGGATTTTTCACGTGAACTTGGACTTCTTGTAATTTCCTCTGGTCTCTGGGTAGTGAGATCAGATACCCGTGTGAATTGTTGTACACGTAAAAAATCCCTTGGTAGTTGAAATCGAAAAGAGTAAAACGGCCCTGCTTGGGCAAAATTTAGAGTTAAAAATCTACTATTTCATGATCCTCATCGGTGCTACAGAGTCTATGCACTGTGCTGAGCTTCTTCAGACTCAGACTTGGGTGCGACAAGGAACTAATGGGTTGTTCACATGGGTGCAGCATGAAACTAATGGGTTGTTCACATGGGTGCGGCCTGAAACTAATGGGTTGTTCACATGGGTGCAGCATGAAACTAATGAGTTGTTCACATGGGTGCGGCATGGAAATAATGGGTTGTTCACATGGGTGCGGCCTGAAACTAATGGGTTGTTCACATGGGTGCGGCCTGAAACTAATGAGTTGTTCACATGAGTGCGGCATGAAACTAATAAGTTGTTCACATGGGTGCGGCATGGAACTAATAAGATGTTCACATGGGTGCGGCATGGAACTAATGGGTTGTGCACATAGGTGGGGTATGGAAGTAATGGGTTGTTCACATGGGTGCGGCATGAAACTAATGGGTTGTTCACATGAGTGCGGCATGAAACTAATAAGTTGTTCACATGGGTGTAGGCATGAAACTAATGGGTTGTTCACATGGGTGCGGCATGAAACTAATGGGTTGTTCACATGGGTGCGGCATGAAACTAATGGGTTGTTCACATGGGTGCGGCATGAAACTAATGGGTTGTGCACATGGGTGCGGCATGAAACTAATGGGTTGTGCACATGGGTGCGGCATTAAACTAATGGGTTGTTCACATGGGTGCGGCATGAAACTAATGAGTTGTTCACGTGGGTGCGGCCTGAAACTAATGAGTTGTTCACGTGGGTGCGGCCTGAAACTAATGAGTTGTTCACATGTGCGGCATGAAACTAATAAGTTGTTCACACAGGCTCGGCATGGAACTAATGGGTTGTTTACATGGGTACAGCATTAAACTAATGGGTTGTTTACATGGGTACAGCATGGAACTAATGGTGTGTTCACATGGGTGCGGTAGGGAGCTAATTAGCTGTTCACATGGGTGCGGTAGGGAACTAAGAGGTTGTTTACATTGGTTCGGCATGGAACTAATGGGTTTATCACATAGGTGTGGTAGGGAGCTAATTAGCTGTTCACATGGGTGCGGTAGGGAACTAAGAGGTTGTTTACATTGGTTCAGCATGGAACTAATGGGCTGTTCACATAAATGCGATAGGGAGCTAAGGAGCTGTTCACATGGGTGCGGCAGGGAACTTATGGGCTGTTCACATGGGTGTGGCATGGAACATTTTTTTTTGGGTCACAACTAAGATACTGTTTTATCTTCTATTTCCTACGTATTTATACTGTATTAATCCGACCTAGCCTGACTTGTTTGCCCATTAAAAAAGTGGACTCAAACAGTGTTCAGTAGAATCGGACAGCCGTCTTCTGTGAAACTTCAGGAATTTGCCCTGATCACACAGTCGACAGACAAATGCCAAAAACAGGATGGCGTTTTAGCACATTTTATTAACAAGTTACTTTGAAGTCGCCTTCGCCGGCTGGCGCTAGCGATCACTCTAATATAATAATGCTTCCAGGACCAGATTGGGATCAGTGGAAGCATACATGACCCTATGATTGGGATCAGTGTAAGCATACACGACCCCTCCGGCCACATTTCCACAACAATATGGCAGTTGCCGCTGCCACGTGGATCTATCAGCGAGAACTATCGGTCTGCGTGTTTGAGTTGGGCCATCTCACATTCGCCTGTGGATTCTTGTCCTCACACCTCCGCCTATCATAACTGTGTTGACCAGCTTTGTCTTAGCTTGAGCCAGTTCGTTAACTCCGGAATACTCGAGCTGTTTTAGTTTCTATTATACAACTATCAACAAAAGTTATAGACTGCAAAATTTGTTCCTTACAGTAGTTAGCCACACCAACACACATGCGGATGTGCAGCACACCAACATATACATATGTGCAACTCACTAACATACATACAGATGTGCACCACACCAACACATACAGATGTGCACCACACCAACACACATTCAGATGTGCACCACACCAACACACATGCAGATGTGCACCACACCATCACACATGCAGATGTGCACCATACCAACACATATGCAAATGGGCAAAACATCAACACACGTGCAGATGTGCACCATCCCAGCACACATGCAGATGTGCACCATACCAACACACATTCAGATGTGCACCATACCAACACACATTCAGATGTGCACCATACTAACACACATTCAGATGGGCACCACACCAACACACATTCAGATGGGTATCACACCAACACACATGCAGATGGGCACCACACCAACACACATGCAGATGGGCACCACACTAACACACATGCAGATGGGCACAACACCAACACACATTCAAATGGGCACCACACCAACACGCATTCAGATGGGTACCACACCAACACGCATTCAGATAGGCACCACACCAACATACATGCAGATGGACACCACACCAACACGCATTTAGATGGGCACCACACCAACACACATGCAGATGTGCATCATACCAACACACATGCAGATGGGCACCACACTAACACACATTCAGATGGGCACCACACCAACACATACCGATTTGCACCATACCAACATATACATATGTGCAGCTCACCAGCACACATACAGGTGTGCATCACACAAATACTTAAAGATGTACAAGACATAAACACATACAGATGTGCAATATACCAACACACATACGGATGTTCAAAACACCAACACACATGTAGATGTGCACCACACCAACAAACATGCAGATGTGCACCACACCAACATATATAGATGCGCAGCACACCAACAAACATGCAGATGTGTACCACACCAACATATATAGATGTGTATCACACCAACACACATGCAGATGTGCACCACGCCAACATACATGCAGATGTGCACGACACCAACACACAAGCAGATGTGAACCACACCAACACACATGCAATGTGAACCACACCAACACACAAGCACATGTGCAGCACACAAACACACATTTAGATGTGCACCACACCAACACACATGCAAATGTGCACCCCATCAACACACACACAGATGTGCACCACACCAACACACATGCAGAATGTGCACCACATCAACACGCATGCAGATGTGCAGCACACTAACACACATGCAATGTGAACTACACCAACACATAGATGTATGTGCACCACACCAACACAGATGCAGATAGAGATTACAGTAGGACATACACCAATAACTTTTTCTACACAACACACACACACACATACATGCACACACACTTCCCTCAAGATCTTTCTTATACTCTGCTTACTCTCGTCCTGTTTCTCGATAATGTCTCCTTATTTATCTGTTTCTCTTTACTCTTGTCTCCTTCTCTATTATTTCTTTTCTTTTTCGAATTTTCTCTCTCACACACAATCTCTCTCTGTCTCCATACTCTTTCGACTCTCTCTATCCACAGTCGCTATACACTTTCTTCCTCACCTCTCTCTCTCTCTCTCTCTCTCTCTCTCTCTCTCTCTCTCTCTCTCTCTCTCTCTCTCTCTCTCTCTCGCCTAATCGATTGCTGTAAGAAAATGTTCTAGAATCGTCCATCAATTCAGTTACAGCCCCATGGGTTTGGGGGGCTTAGAAATAAAGTCGGCCGCTTGTCCAGCAATTCTCTCTCTAATTGCCCTTCTTTCGATTAGTTCTCTAATCTAATTGCCGCTTGGACTACGGTGTCCAGCAAACACTGACCACACGGTCAAGCGTCCGGGGACGTCCCCAAGGACTCATCCTTCTAACTTGTTCATTTAAAGGGTGATGCGGACTGTGGCGGTACGCGGTCACTAATAATGGGCATCCTGACACCCGAGACTCGCAAACTCCAGTGGAAATGGGGTGGTAGGGCAAGGGTGGTTAGAGGGCGAGTGAAAGGTAGTGAGAGATCTGGAGGGTGAGAGAGAGGTAGTGAGGGGTCTGGAGAGCGAGAGAGAGAGAGGTAGTGAGGGGTCTGGAGAGCGAGAGAGAGAGGTAGTGAGGGGTCTGGAGAGCGAGAGAGAGAGAGGTAGTGAGGGGTCTGGAGGGTGAGAGAGAGAGAGAGAGGTAGTGAGGGGTCTGGAGGGTGAGAGAGAGAGAGGTAGTGAGAGGTCTGGAGAGTGAGAGAGAGAGGTAGTGAGGGGTCTGGAGGGTGAGAGAGAGAGAGAGGTAGTGAGAGGTCTGGAGAGCGAGAGAGAGAGAGAGGTAGTGAGAGGTCTGGAGAGTGAGAGAGAGAGGTAGTAAGGGGTCTGGAGAGTGAGAGAGAGAGGTAGTGAGAGATCTGGAGAGTGAGAGAGAGAGGTAGTGAGGGGTCTGGAGAGTGAGAGAGAGAGGTAGTGAGAGGTCTGGAGAGTGAGAGAGAGAGGTAGTGAGAGGTCTGGAGAGTGAGAGAGAGAGGTAGTGAGGGGTCTGGAGAGTGAGAGAGAGAGGTAGTGAGAGGTCTGGAGAGTGAGAGAGAGAGGTAGTGAGGGGTCTGGAGAGTGAGAGAGAGAGGTAGTGAGAGGTCTGGAGAGTGAGAGAGAGAGGTAGTGAGGGGTCTGGAGAGTGAGAGAGAGAGGTAGTGAGAGGTCTGGAGAGTGAGAGATAGAGGTAGTGAGAGGTCTGGAGAGTGAGAGAGAGAGGTAGTGAGGGGTCTGGAGAGTGAGAGAGAGAGGTAGTGAGAGGTCTGGAGAGTGAGAGAGAGAGGTAGTGAGGGGTCTGGAGAGTGAGAGAGAGAGGTAGTGAGAGGTCTGGAGAGTGAGAGATAGAGGTAGTGAGAGGTCTGGAGAGTGAGAGAGAGAGGTAGTGAGGGGTCTGGAGAGTGAGAGAGAGAGGTAGTGAGAGGTCTGGAGAGTGAGAGAGAGAGGAAGTGAGAGGTCTGGAGGGTGAGAGAGAGAGAGGTAGTGAGAGATCTGGAGAGTGAGAGAGCAAGGTAGTGAGGGATTTGGAGAGAGCGAGGTAGTGAGGGATCTGGATCGTGAGAGAGAGAGAGGTAGTGAAAGATCTGGAGAGTGAGAGAGAGAGGTAGTGAGAGATCTGGAGAGTGAGAGAGAGAGGTAGTGAGAGATCTGGAGAGTGAGAGAGAGAGAGAAGTAGTGAGAGATCTGGAGAGTGAGAGAGAGAGGTAGTGAGAGATCTGGAGAGTGAGAGAGAGAGAGAAGTAGTGAGAGATCTGGAGAGTGAGAGAGCGAGGTAGTGAGGGATCTGGAGAGAGCGAGGTAGTGAGGGATTTTGATCGTGAGAGAGAGAGGGTTAGTGAAAGATCTGGAGAGTGAGAGAGAGAGGTAGTGAGAGATCTGGAGATTAAGAGAGCGAGGTATTGAGAGATCTGGAGAGTGAGAGAGAGAAGTAGTGAAAGATCTGGAGAGTGAGAGAGAGAGAGGTAGTGAGAGGTCTGGAGAGCGAGAGAGAGAGAGGTAGTGAGGGGTCTGGAGAGCGAGAGAGAGAGAGGTAGTGAGGGGTCTGGAGAGTGAGAGAGAGAGAGGTAGTGAGAGGTCTGGAGAGCGAGAGAGAGAGAGGTAGTGAGAGATCTGGAGGGTGAGAGAGAGGTAGTGAGAGATCTGGAGGGTGAGAGAGAGAGAGGTAGTGAGGGGTCTGGAGAGTGAGAGAGAGAGAGAGGTAGTGAGAGGTCTGGAGAGCGAGAGAGAGAGAGGTAGTGAGAGATCTGGAGGGTGAGAGAGAGGTAGTGAGGGGTCTGGAGAGTGAGAGAGAGGTAGTGAGAGATCTGGAGGGTGAGAGAGAGGTAGTGAGAGATCTGGAGGGTGAGAGAGAGGTAGTGAGAGATCTGGAGGGTGAGAGAGAGGTAGTGAGGGGTCTGGAGGGTGAGAGAGAGGTAGTGAGGGGTCTGGAGAGTGAGAGAGAGGTAGTGAGAGATCTGGAGGGTGAGAGAGAGGTAGTGAGAGGTCTGGAGAGCGAGAGAGAGAGAGAGGGGGTAGTGAGAGATCTGGAGAGTGAGAGAGAGAGGTAGTGAGAGATCTGGAGAGAGTGAAGTAGTCAGGGATCTGGATCATGAGAGAGAGAGAGAGGTAGTGAGGGGTCTAGAGAGTGAGAGAGCGAGGTAGTGAGAGATCTGGAGAGAGTGAGGTAGTGAGGGATCTGGATCGTGAGAGAGAGAGAGAGAGAGGTAGTGAGGGATCTGGATCGTAAGAGAGAGAGAGAGAGGTAGTGAGAGATCTGGAGAGTGAGAGAGAGAGGTAGTAAGAGATCTGGAGAGTGAGAGAGAGAGAAGTAGTGAGAGATCTGGAGAGTGAGAGCGCGAGGTAGTGAGAGATCTGGAGAGTGAGAGAGAGAGGTAGTGAGAGATCTGGAGAGTGAGAGAGAGAGGTAGTGAGGGGTCTGGAGAGAGAGAGAGCGAGGTAGTGAGAGATCTGGAGAGAGTGAAGTAGTGAGGGATCTGGATCGTGAGAGAGAGAGAGGTAGTGAGGGATCTTGATCGTGAGAGAGAGAGAGGTAGTGAGAGATCTGGAACTTGAGAGAGAGAGAGAGGTAGTGTGAGATCTGGAGAGTGAGAGAGCGAGGTAGTGAGAGATCTGGAGAGTGAGAGAGAGAGGTAGTGAGAGATCTGGAGAGTGAGAGAGAGAGAGAGGTAGTGAGAGATCTGGAGAGTGAGAGAGCGAGGTAGTGAGGGATTTGGAGAGAGCGAGGTAGTGAGGGATCTGGATCGTGAGAGAGAGAGAGGTAGTGAAAGATCTGGAGAGTGAGACAGAGAGGTAGTGAGAGATCTGGAGAGTGAGAGAGAGAGGTAGTGAGAGATCTGGAGAGTGAGAGAGAGAGAGAGAAGTAGTGAGAGATCTGGAGAGTGAGAGAGAGAGGTAGTGAGAGATCTGGAGAGTGAGAGAGAGAGAGAAGTAGTGAGAGATCTGGAGAGTGAGAGAGCGAGGTAGTGAGGGATCTGGAGAGAGCGAGGTAGTGAGGGATTTGGATCGTGAGAGAGAGAGGGTTAGTGAAAGATCTGGAGAGTGAGAGAGAGAGGTAGTGAGAGATCTGGAGATTAAGAGAGCGAGGTATTGAGAGATCTGGAGAGTGAGAGAGCGAGATATTAAGAGATCTGGAGGAGTGAGAGAGCAAGGTAGTGAGGGGTCTGGAGAGAGAGAGAGAGTTAGTGAGAGATCTGGAGAGTGAGAGCGAGGTATTGAGAGATCTGGAGAGTGAGAGAGCGAGGTAGTGAGGATCTGGATCGTGAGAGAGAGGTAGTGAGGGATCTGGATCGTGAGAGAGAGGTAGTGAGGGATCTGGATCGTGAGAGAGAGGTAGTGGGAGATTTGGAGAGTGAGAGAGAGGTAGTGAGAGATCTGGAGAGTGAGAGAGGGGTGGTGAGGGATCTGGAGAGTGAGAGAGAGAGAGAGGTAGTGAGAAATCTGGAGAGAGAGAGCGCGAGGTAGTGAGAGATCTGGAGAGTGAGATAGCGAGGTAGTGAGAGATCTGGAGGATGAGAGAGAGAGAGGTAGTGAGAGAACTGGAGAGTGAGAGAGCGAGGTAGTGAGGGATCTGGGAATTGAGAGAGAGGCAGTAAGAAATCTGGAGGGTGCGAGAGAGAGAGATAGAGAGAGAGAGAGAGAGAGAGAGGTATTGAGAGATCTGGGAAATGAGAGAGAGGTAGTGTCATGAAGACAGTAAATCTCACTATAGCTCTGACAGTTCCTCACTAGAAGTAAATCTAACTGTACCTCTGACAGTAAATCTAACTGTACCTCTGACAGTAAACCTAACTGTACCTCTGTCAGTACCTCACTAGACCTCACTAAACCTCTGACAGTACCCAACACTAGCCCTCAACGCCCCCACCCCCTCCCCCCCACCCCCTCAGCACCAAAAAAGTATTGCTCTAATGTGGCATCGCTGAATGAAAGAATCAGCAAGTCTGTGATAGCAACTGTATCTCTTGTGTTTCAGGAGAAAAGCCGTACAAGTGCAGCTACTGTAGCAAGTCTTTCAGCCAGTCATCCAACTTGATCACACACTGCCGGAAACACACCGGTTTCAAGCCGTTTGAATGTCAGCAGTGCAGCCGTGCTTTCCAGCGCAAGGTGGATCTCAGGCGTCATAGAGAAACGCAACATGGCGGAGAATCCCCCACCCACGACCACCAGCGGCTCAGCAGATCTCCCAGTTCTGCGGCGTCGGAACACGGGAGGCAGGTACCAGTCAGGACATCGGTGTTTGCAAGCAAGGTCACTTCATCAGCTTTAGCGCCAAGCTTCCTGGCCTCAGCAGACCCAGGCAGTGAGACGCCTCTGTGCACAGAGTTGGAGTCAACGCCTCAAAGAGTGGCCATGCCTCATGCGATACATAGACTGACACCCACAGTGGGACACGGTTGCTTGTCTCCTTCACCTCCATGCAGAAATGGTACCCGTCATAGCCCAGACGTCACACCCTACAAGAAGGACTGGGCCACGCCAGGAACACAGACTTCAGACTGGGCCACACCAGGGACACAGACCTCAGACTGGACCTTGTCATCTATCAGCCCTGATTCTGGGGTAGAATTCAGCAGCACTAGCTTCAAATGTTTGAATCTTTCCAGCGATGTCCACACTGACCAGTCCATTGACCAGTCCAATGAACAGCTGCACAGTTGCGACACCGGCTCATCTCCGCCGTCACACGCTGATTTGTCCCCCCATGTATCATCTTGTGGGGACAACCCTGCCAAGTGGTTGGTGTCGGAAGGCCAGCGATCGTCAGCAGAAATCAACAACAACAGCACCACTAACACCGATAACTTCAGGCAGTCTTCAGCTATGAGATTTAACGGTCGTGTGACAGACAGCAACATCATCACAAACGCTGCTGATCGCTATTCTGTTTCAGAAGAGTGTCGTGTTCGTATCAAAGACACAACTTTCCGAGTTAGTGAAGATGATAGTGATTCCGTCTATAGTCCAGGCTCTCCAGACATCGATGTTATAAGCGACACAGAAGATGTGCCAGTGTCAAACAAGCTTGAGCAGCAGAGTCTAAGTTAGGCTGGATCAATCCAAGTCTCCAGATTCGACTCTTGTTGATGACTAGGTCTCATGGGACAGACTATACAGTCATGGAGATGACTGCACCCTTGTGGTACATACTATACACTCATGTAGATGACTGCACCCTTGTGGGACAGACTATACAGTCATATAGATGACTGCACCCGTGTGCGACATGCTTTACAGTCAGAACGATGACTGTACCCTTGTGGTTCCGACTATGAAGTCATGGAGATGACTGCACCCTTGTAGGACAGACTATACAGTCATGGAGATGACTGCACCCTTGTAGGACAGACTATACAGTCATGGAGATTACTATATCCCTGAAGGACAGGCTGTACAATCATAATGATTACAGCACCCTTGTAGAACAAACTATACAGTCATGGAGATGACTGCACCCTTGTGGGGCTTCACCCTTTTGGGGTATAATTGTACAGTCAGTAAGATAACTGAACTCTTGTAGGACAGATTGATAAAGTCAGGAAGATAGCTGCACATTTTGTGTTAGAGACTTGTATCTTTTTGAAAAACTCTGGTTCAGGCTAGCTATATGATATAAAATGTATTCTCAGTACAGTCTCATGGTTGTACATCTTTCAATGTGATCATATGTGAATGAATACAGTTCAATGCTCAACACTCATTGATACCTTCTCACCATTCACTGATGAAATTTCCCCTGTCATGGATCAATTGTCCCTATTCCTGGATCAGTTGTAACCATTCATACGGAAATTGTCACGATTCACATGTGAATGCTCACCATTAACAGAGCAATTCGGCTCAAATATCTCATATATTAGTTAACACTTGTTAGCTTACTTAGCTTGCTAAGTTTCATGTATCACTAATCTGTTCATTAATTCCTACATGTACCAACAATCTGTTCATTAATTCCTTCATGTAACAACAATCTGTTCATTAATTCCCTTCATATATCAACGATCTGTTCATTAATTCCCTTCATATATCAACGATCTGTTCATTAATTCCCTTCATGTATCCACAGTCTGTTTATTAATTCCTTTATGTATCAACCATCTGTTATTTAATTCCCCTCATGTATCCACAGTCTGTTTATTAATTCCTTCATGTATCAACCATCTATTTTTTAATTCCCTTCATGTATCCACAGTCTGTTTATTAATTTCCTTCGTGTACCAATAATCTGTTCATTAATTCCCTTCTTGGATCAACCTTCTCGTGAATCAACCTTCTCTTCATTAATTCCCTTCATGTACCGACAATCTGTTCATTAATTGCAATCTCTTCTTTAATTCCTTTTTTGTATCAACAATCCAATAATCTTGTATCAACAATCTGTTCATTAATTCCATGCTTTTATCAACAGGCTTTTCATCAATTACCTTCATATTTCAATAGTTTGTAAGCAAGTAAATTTTAACATACCAGGACATTACACAGAGCGATAAACATCTGGTAACACACTGCCACTATGCAGTTGAGGATCACTCGTGGAGACGTCCTGGAAAGCCGTTAGGTTATATTAGGGCCCCCTAACAATTGCATTCCACATGGGAACGACTTATAGTATGACAACAATTTATTCATTAATTCCATTCATCTATCAACAGTCTTTTAATCGACAATATGTGCAATAATTCCATTATTTCATTATTATTTGCATTAATTCCCTTTAATTATGAATAAAAAAGGCACAATGAAGAACATAATATATTTTTTAATATGAGAAAAAATTCTACAATGAATACCCCCCACCAACCACGTATTAAAATCGACAACTAAGAGATGAAAGATATGACGAATTTTGAATATCTTTGGCTCAGAAACGAACAACAGCTGCGATGGCTCAGAAACGAACAACAGCTGCGATGGCTCAGAAACGAACAACAGCTGCGATGGCTCAGAAACGAACAACAGCTGCGATGGCTCAGAAACGAACAACAGCTGCGATGGCTCAGAAACGAACAACAGCTGCGATGGCTCAGAAACGAACAACAGCTGCGATGGCTCAGAAACGAACAACAGCTGCGATGGCTCAGAAACGAACAACAGCTGCGATGGCTCAGAAACGAACAACAGCTGCGATGGCTCAGAAACGAACAACAGCTGCGATGGCTCAGAAACGAACAACAGCTGCGATGGCTCAGAAACGAACAACAGCTGCGATGGCTCAGAAATGAACAACAGCTGCGATGGCTCAGAAACGAACAACAGCTGCGATGGCTCAGAAACGAACAACAGCTGCGATGGCTCAGAAACGAACAACAGCTGCGATGGCTCAGAAAACGAACAACAGCTGCGATGGCTCAGAAACGAACAACAGCTGCGATGGCTCAGAAACGAACAACAGCTGCGATGGCTCAGAAACGAACAACAGCTGCGATGGCTCAGAAACGAACAACAGCTGCGATGGCTCAGAAACGAACAACAGCTGCGATGGCTCAGAAACGAACAACAGCTGCGATGGCTCAGAAACGAACAACAGCTGCGATTGCACAAAAGCAGTCTCAGTAAGACTTACTTTAGCATGCAGAGCCCAACGGCGTAACCAGCCTTTAGCATAGTAACTTCAAAAGAATAAAGTAACAATTTTGAGATCATGCATCTTTCCCGTGAGTCATAAACTCTCTATCTGTCTATCTTCTTCTAACCCACTAGGACATCACACAAGCGATAAACACCCGATGACACAAAGTGTCACCATGTGGATGAGGATCACCCGCGAAGAGGTCCCAGAAACCGGGTTCAGCCATAAGACCATATTTATGGTCGGGCTATATTGCGGCCCATGGAAAGAGCCAGAGTAGGGCTTCAAATAACGAGAAATTTCATCCTAAAAAGGAATGACAAGATATCACACACTCGAATATAAACTCTCAATCTTTGAAGAAGAAGAAGATATGAGCGTCTGAACTGAAATGCTTGAGAGCAATTCTCAGAATACCGTGGACCACGAAGGAGAAAAACGTCAACATCCTGTATGACCTGAACACCAGGGAGAACTGGCTCACACACAGCATCCTTTCCCAGACGCTGAGGTAATTTGAACATGCCAAGAGCCATGGCGGTCTCTACAGAACGGTGATGACTGGGTTGTGAAAGGGAAGTTAGTGTTGCCGGCAAACGAGGCAGATGGCAACCACCATGAATTTGGATACAGAAATTGAAGATGCATTGGCAATGAAAGCAGGGGGGCCGCCGCGTTAGCGCAGTCGATAGGAGGCTCGCTTTCAAATCCAGCTGCGACTCGCGGCAGCCACGGTCGGTGTTCGAATCCGGGCGGCTCCCGGCGTTCACCCAGCCTCTAGGAAATAGGTACCAGAGTTGACACTCTGGGGTAAATGGAGGATCGTCGCTGTAGCTACAGAGTTACGTGCGGACGGTGCCACAGGCGGACAATTCTTATCTGCTGTCCGTACTGGTGGCAGAGCACTTATGGTTTATAACCGTGTGCAATGACGCTAGTTCACATCTTCCGACTTTGCTTTACTTTACTTGAAGACATACATGCTTGGATAATTGGCTTAGAGAGAGAGAGAGAGAGAGAGAGAGAGAGAGAGAGAGAGAGAGAGAGAGAGAGAGAGAGAGAGAGAGGGAGAGAGAGAGAGAGAGATTTTCAGGCATGCCAGGAAGAGAGCGAAGTTCTGTAAAGAACATGCTGATTTATTGATTGACTGATCGACTATCTGTTCACGAATTCCACGTTTTTATCAACAATCTGTTCATCAATTCCCTTTACGTATTAACAACATGTGCATTAATTTCCTTCTTGCGTCAACAATCTGTTCATTAATTCCCTTTACGTATTAACAACATGTGCATTAATTTCCTTCTTGCGTCAACAATCTGTTCGTTAATTCCCTTTACGTATTAACAACATGTGCATTAATTTCCTTCTTGCGTCAACAATCTGTTCATTAATTCCCTTTACGTATTAACAACATGTGCATCAATTTCCTTCTTGCGTCAACAATTTGTTCATTAATTTCCTCTTCCGCAGCCTAGCCCTTCATTCACTAATGTAACTGCTGTAGATTTGTAATGCACGTAAGATCCATCAGATGATCATTAATTTACAATATTCGTTCACTTATCTACAGAAATTGTTCAAATATTGACAGTTGTATAGAAATTGTTCACGTTTTCAGAGTTTTACAGAAATTGTTTACCTATTACAATTGTATAGAAATTGTGCTCACATTCACAATTGTACATAACTTGTTCACACTTCTAATACTGTAAATAAATTGTTCACATGTCTAATACTGTATATAAATTGTTCACATATTCCCAAATGCACAGAAACTATTCACATATTCACAATTGTACATAAATTCTTCACATATTCACAGTTGTACAGAAATGTTTCACATGTTCACCAAAACTTTATGATAAAGCGTATGTGACTGTTTAGGATCAAGTGCGCAGTGCAACACTGTAGACAAAGTATCCAAACAGGAATGTACTGATGCATTTTATGGGGGGGGGGGGGGGGGGGGGGGGGGGGGGTCTAGTAGAGGGTCTAGGGGATATACAGCCCTCAAGGGCTAGCATAAAACAGTTACAAAGAAATGTAAGCACCCTTTTCCATGATTGCAGGGGTATTTGGCATATAAGGCTAGACCTAGATTGTGTAGTCCAATCGACACATGGTGGGTGATGTAGTCAGCATCATACCGATCGCCTTTACTTCCCAGGACTGTACAGGTTACCCACTCAAAGCTGGGTCGACCTAGGAGCCAAAGTCAGTTCTAAAAAAAAAAAAAAAAATCTTGCTCTGTCAGCACCCGAACCAAGGACCTTCCGATCCGTAGGCGAATGGCTACCCACTACACCACAGCAGGTGAAAAAAAAAAGCAATGGGGCGAGAGAGAAGCATGGGCGGTCTTTATTCACATTGCAGCGGATACTGTTGGCATGACAGGTTGGCTGGATCCCTATCACTACCGACGGTCAGTCTATGGATCATGCTGATTTTATTAATGCCCTCAGAGAAATGGGAAGGATAGAGGACTTTGGTGGCAGTAAATCCACATCACTCGCCTGAATGGCAGACTTGGGAATTAAGATCGGTACAGCAAAAAACGAGACGCACACCAAACACGCCAGAAGACTTGTTAATCAACATAGAACTGGTACTATTAGCTATCGGATGTTGGGGTTCATACTGAGGGGAGGATCTGAGCACCTATGGACATGTCCGGAGTGCAATGATGATAACCCAACTAGCTAACTAACTAACTAACTGACTTACTGTTGGCATGGCGGCAACGGCGAGGCGGTACCTGCGTTGTAAAATCTAGAATGTAGCGATGTCAATTCTTGATTCATTCATTCATACGCCAATGTACAGAAATTGTTCTTTCATTAACTACACTGATATTGCTTACGTATTCATTAAAGAACAGATGACCATTACTGATCCCGTTGTTTTGTGCAATTACCCCAGCTATTTCGTTCATTTTTATATGTGTGTGGATGTGTTCACGAATTTTATCCCTGTACTGTGGATATAGTTTACACAGATGGGTCAGTAATTCGGGGCAAGCGAAGTGCATGGGAATTCACAGTAAGCTCAAGGGGGAAAACCAGCAAGGAGATAAATGGCGTCTTTTGCCTGTTACAACTAGTAGCCTTACAATGGAAACTATAGCTGTAGCAAGGGCATTAGCATCGCTTGGTACTCGAAAGTTCACACACGTATGCATTCTTAAGGACTCGATGTTTAGGCTTAAAAAACTCAAGCTGGATTTATCAGGCAAGAATAGATCGAAACACATAACGAATATCTGCGCCCGGCACTCTAGCGTAGTTGGCTAAACCAGATTGCGCGGTAACCGGGTGAAGAACTCCTTGTGGTTAGGGTTCACTCCCGGGGGTAGGCATAAAAGCCACATTTCTTCCACATTTACAATGGAATCAAGGCCGAAAGGTTGCGATATCCATAATACCGAGCCTAAGGGTTAACAACTCATAGCTTCTGGATACTAAAACAAACAACAATCAAACAAACAACGAATAGCTGCCCTAACCTTCATCTGTGTGCCAGGTTATGCGGGTGTTCTAGGGAACGAGCGAGCAGACTATCTTGCTGACACTGCGGATGCTATGGCTGGCCCAGTACTGGACAGAAGAAGAGACATGACTCCGAATCAAAATCTAGACTGATGGGCATGGGGGTGCAACCTGGAGCTGCAAAGTAATGAACATTTCACTAGGGGGAAAAGACGTTTCATTAACCAACACAGAACAGGCGTCATCAGTCGTTTTACACTTGTGGAGCTTTTAAAGAGGACATCAGAGCACCTACGGATCTGACCGAAGTGCTGTGATGATAATCCTTTATATTCACTAATCACTAATAACTCCTGTACTTGATAACCCTGTTTGGCATCATTCACTACTTCACTCTCTGTACACTGTACATCACTCTCTGTACACTGTACATCACTTCCTGTACACTGTACATCACTTCCTGTACACTGTACATCACTCACTACATACTGTACATCATTCATCATATACTGTAGATTACTCCCTATATACTGTACATCACTCCCTATTTACTGAAGGTCACTCTCTGTAAACTGTACGTCACTCCCTATATACTGAAGCTTACTCCCTTTATGCTGTACGACAAGCCTATATACTGTACATCACTTCCTGTATATTGTACGTCACTCCCAATATACTGTACATAATTACTAAAATCTGAACATCACTCCTTATATACTGTACATAATTACTATAATCTGAACATCACTCCCAATATACTGTACACTGTACACCACTCCCTGTACATCAGTCCATGTGTACTCCATGTTTACTTCCTGTGTCACCTCACGAGGAGATGTAGTGAGTCACGTTAGTCATGATGACATCGTGGGTCGTGATCAAAGTTATGTGTCACGATGAACAGGATGAGATGTTTTGTACAACAGTACCCACGATGAGATCTTGGGTGTCACGTTATTCACATTGATATGTTGTGTGCCACCTTACCCACGATGAGATCTTGTATGTCACGTTATTCACATTGATATGTTGTGTGTCACCTTACCCACTATGAGATCTTGGTTGTCACGTTAATCATATTGATATGTTGTGTGCCACCTTACCCACGATGAGATCTTATGTGTCAAGTTAGTAACCTTGATATGTTGCGCGTCACGTCATTCATTCTGAGATCACGTGTGCCAGGGTAGTCATATTGCTGTAGTGTGTGTGACATTAGTCATGGTGCTGAGTTTGTCATGTTAGTCACTGTGCTGTGCTGTTTGTCACGCTGGTCATGGTGCTGTGGTGGTTGTTACTTTAGTCGTGATGCGATGTTGTGTGTCACGTTAGTCATGACCATGCTGTATGTGCCGTGCTACATTAGCCATGATGATATTTTGTGTCACACTAGTTATAATGAGATTGAGTGTAGCGTTAGTCATAATGAGATGTTATATGTCACGTTTTTCGTGTTGATATTTTATGTGACTCGCTAGTCTTGGTGATGTGTGTATGTC